ATAAAGGTACGTCTTCCCGTACACAAAGTCGTAGTATCCACAAATGAATAGATACATCCCAACCGTTATCTCTCGCCATCGAAGTCTGCACAAATACAAACTCGCAATCACAACATCATTCTAACAACATTTTGTGCAGTAAATCTCTGTGGAAATATATTCAAACCTTTCGGGGAAGCTATATCGAGGAATGAGGTTTTGCCTGAGAGTATTACTCTCTCCTAGTTTCTGTGTCACAACCCATTCTTTAACTCTACTAGTCTCAAGCAATCCAATTAGAGTACCTTTACTCCTATGCATTGCCATTACATTCTCAAATAAGATCCAATATAGTATGAGGTAGAACGATTTCGGTGTTGCAATAGCGTTTAGGATAGTGATTGTAGCTGGAATGTAGATAGTTGTCCATTTAGGGACTTCGATCTCCGGGAAGATAACGGTAGCAGGCAAAATCAAACAGTAGAAGACGAATGTGAAGATGTGTACTATAATCTTCCTCAAAAAGAAGAAGTTGTATATCAAATACGCCTTCTTCCATATAGACACACTCTGTATCAAACATAGACGACAAAAACAATATAGGTCACTGAACTATGTACTTGTGTTCCAAAGGAATTAGATTTGGGGATTTAAGTAATCTACCAACCTGGTTCTGGATGACCTCCATGGCCATTTTCTTGAATAGGTTCGCTGGACCGCAAGACCAACGATGTTGTTGATACCGGTATGCTCTAAATGAGCTCGGAAGCTCGTTTTTCACCTTAACATCGTCAACAAACACAAACTTGCGGCCGCTTAAATGAGCCCTAACCGCTAAATCCATGTCCTCAACGATCGTGCGGTCCCTCCATCCACCAGCCTCATTTAAATCAGAGATTCTCCACACACCAGCAGTACCTGAAGTCAACAAAAATGTTCCGTTCTAGTCATACAAATTTGGAACACAAACCACACAAGAGCATTGATATGGATGCTCCACCGTTGAATCCGAAAAAACCATGTACGGAGGATCCAGACTTCTGCTCCACTGCAAAATGGTAGTTAAGAGACATCTCTTGTATTCTTGTCATAATACACTCATTGGAATTCACTGTCACACATGAGCAAAAACAAGTGAGCAAATAGACTAAAACGGGTCTTTAGCTACCTCGAACGCGAAGAAGAAAGTTCAAACCGTATTTCCAGCCGGCTTGTACAAGAGCTATCTCAGAGTTATGGACAAGAAAAGGAACAGTACGTTCAAGAAAATCAGGTTCAGGCTGAAAATCTGCATCAAATATAACAACAAACTCGCATCCTTCCACATAACTATGCTTCATTCCTGCAGTAAGAGCTCCTGCTTTGTATCCGTTTCGACTGTCTCTAACCTCTGACTTTATGTTAATACCTTCACTCGCCCATTTCTTACACTCCAATAGAACCATTTTCTATTTTATTTCAAAGAAACACTTTGTTACATACATTGTAATAACTAATAAACAGAAGAGCTAATCAAATTCAATAAGGGCTAAACGTAAAGACCTTACTGTCTTCATCGGTTGAATCATCGAGCACTTGAACTATCATCCGATCCGATGGCCATGATAGCTTGCAAACTGCTCCTATCGAAAGTTGACATACCTGTAAAAAAATTAAGGATCACTTGACCACTTGAGTGAAACATAAATGATATGTTTTTGAAAAACAGAGTGTTCTGTTTTTTGGTACAAATCTGTTACCTCTTTTTCATTGTAGATTGGGATTTGGATAAGAACCATTGGATGATTACTAGAAGGAGCTAGCTCGACATCATCACTATTAAAGCTTTCCCATTTAAGAACTTTCTTCGGTGTTCGACCAAGTAATTTGACAATGGCTACAACTGTAGCCATATAAGCTGCATCTATGAACAACAACAAGGAAATGACTTGACATATATTCACCAGACGTTTCAGAATCGGTACGAGGAAGAGGAATCTTGTTTGCTCCAAAACATATCCAATCACTCCCAACACGTTCATGTCATCAAATAATCCACCAGAAGATGTCGCCATTGCAAATAGATAGTTTTGACCTCACAGTACAAACACAGAAGAGAATCTTGTTCGAGAGAAAGAAGAAACAAAGAGAGGACTAGTTAGAAATCTCCCTGGAGAAAGATCCGACATTCTTTTGGCTTTAACTATCATCTGTCTTTTGATTTAGTAAAGCTTTGGTTGATTTGAACAGAATAATCTAAAGGGACATGTATAGTCGTGATCATTAAAATGTTAATAAATGCGTTTTGATTGAGCTGGAATTTGGTTGTGTTCACATCATGTAATGACATATAGTGTTTGTGTTGGGATTTCAATATTTTATGACATAATCAAAATCTCTTGACTTTTTGTTTAAATTTAATGTCAAATGTGACAAGTAAGCGATGTGTAGTTGGACAGATTAATGAGGGGTACTCTTTTAAATATTTTAAAATGTTCACAACAACGAGACCATTAATAAAGATACATATCTACTTACATCATGAACAGATATCCAAAGTTTATTGCAATTATTTACATGTGTGAAATTGTCACTTAAAGACAAGCGGATTAGATGGGTCCTCTCATGAGTGAAGACGATTAATCACGTACAAAGTCAATGATTAGTGGACCAATTTTTCTATAACTATTGTACATGTTTTTTTTTTTTGTCATCCAATGTTTTCATTTCATTACAAAAAGCATTACATTGGCCATTTTACAATGTACTTTTGAAAATGAATTCATGATTGTTTAGCTAAATGATCCTGATCATTTGCTTGACAAGAAATCCTAAAAAAAGTGAAATTACAAAACTTTGCTATCCTAATAATATCTTGACTTTGAACAATATAAGGAAGATGTCTCACTTGTGGAGAATCCAAATCCAAATTTGTGCGTTGTAGTAAACTATAAACCTTTTGAAAATCTCCACAGAAAGTGACATCCCGATAGCCTAACCTTTGCAATTCCACAACAGCCATTCTCAAAGCTTCAACTTCCGCATGTTCTGGAGACTGCGTAGGCGGCAAAGATCCTGAACCACTAAGCAACTGCTTTAATCTACAATCATGCAAGCTCCAACCTATGCCTATATTATCATTTTGGGAGATCCAAGAGGCATCTACGAGACAACAATTGTGATGAACCTGATCAAGAAGTTGTTGTAACATTTTTGGCACATTTTCAGATTTCCTTATTATTGGAGATGATATACGATCCTGAGACCCATCTTTCTGCTCAAATTCCTAGGCCTCCAACCACGAATGGTAATCCTGAATAGCCTTATTGATAATCAATGGTATGAGAAATCGTTTATGATTGAAAATTACCTCATTTCTTTGCTTCCATACTCGCCATCCCAAGAAATAAAACAAAATAGCTTGATCAGAGAAGTCTTGAGTGGCTGACAAGAAAGCAGCATAATTATCCATTAGATCATTGGAAAGCAAACATTCAGTTTCAGGTCCCCTGATTGGTGCAAACTCCCAAATCTCTTTACTCACACGACATTGGAAAAACATATCATTAAGAGATTCATCCTTTTCACCGCAGATAGAACAAGTACTGTCATTAAGGATCCTTCTCTCTTTAAGACTAGATGCTACTGGAATAGCACTATGTAAAACTCTCCACAAAAAAATGTTTAATTTTAGGAGGCAACTGATATTGCCACAATGATTAAAGTAGAGAGACTGGAGTGTGAGAAAACTGACCATGTTTGGCTCTTAAAAAGTTGTATTTTGATGTAACCGTATAACCGTACATGTTTAATGCGAGTAGCATGTATGATGTACCTAACCTAGATAAAGAAAATCACACAAAAAGAGATTATCAACTAGTATATCACAACATACATGTATTTTGGAAGAATATTGCATAATCCTATAATTTTTTTTGTTGTTGTTGACATTACTTTGTTTTTACGTATTTTTTATTTGCTATTTATATGGTGGTACTCTCATACAATATTTTCCTTCTTTTTATTTGGGAGCAATGCAATACTTTCCATTCAGACTTTAATTTTGGATATCTTATAACTAGAAAAACAGAATTTTGAGTCAAGTTCAAACATACCACAACATCAAAATCGTCAAAATTGTTGTTACCATCTTCTCAAATTAATTCAGTTAATTCAGTTGAACTTGCAGTGGATATGACACATCAAATTCGGAATGAAAAAAATCCATCCAGACAATAAAATTGCCACATCTTTTTTTTGTTTAGGACAAAATGTTAGCCATTTCGGAATAGAATAACCAACAAAATTAATCAACGAGGTAAGTGACTACACGCTGAAAGTAAAACAAGAAGAAGATTGAGAAGAGATCCTTAATCCGCTCAAATTCTTTTAACCACATTTAGTCTCATAGTTGTTAGCCTCGCGAAATTAAAAAGTTAAG